GGGCCCGGGTGCAGGGTCCCTCGCCGGCCGGGAAGGGCGTGGCCAGGGCCCGTGAGGGTCCAGCGCAGATCCAGGGCCGTCCGGGGCCGCCGCTGCCGGCAGCGCGCCTGTGGTCAGTCCCTTTTCACGCCTCGGCTGCCACCGCTAGCCCTTCTCGTGCCTTTCTTTCTTTTTAAGATTTATTTATTCATGCACACAGAGCTGGGGTGCAGGCCAGCCTGCGGCCGGGGTGAGAGACTCCCCCAGGGACAGTGGGGAGCAGAACAGGCAGAAGGCCGAAATCCGCCGCTGAGGGAGCGGCTGGCGGGCGGGAGAGGTCTGGGCGCCCTGTGGTCACTCCCTGGCCAGAGATGGAGCTCGTGCTGCCGCGGCTGCCAGCTTCCGCGCAGCCTTTAACCCGCGGGCGGCCAGGGAGGCCCCTTGTCGCGCAGCACTGCCCTTGCCCAACTTTGAATAGAAGCAGCCAGTTAGAAAAGGCATCTGTGGCCCTCCCTGGTGGTGCCCCGCTTCTGGCCTGTACCCCAATTCTGTTTGCACAAATAATATTTTAAAAGGCCTCTGTTCAGGAAGAGCGACTCAGGATCTGCAGGCTACAAGGGACCAAAGCTGTCGGGGTGAGGAGCTCCCCGACGCAGGCCGGGTTGCCGGCCTGGGCTCCCTCAGACCTGCTTCCGCCGCTGGGGTGCCGCCTCTGCGCCCCAGGCTCTGCCTGTGGCCAGGCTCCTGGGAGCGCTCCATGCCACAGGGGCAGTGGGCCAACGGCTCTGCCCCCTCCACAGGAGACACAGGGGCCCTCGTGCAGACAGGTGTTTGCTGAGCTCAGGTGGCCTGGCCGCCCCCCAGCGCCCCTGCAGCACCCAGGTCCCCAGAGGGCTTCTTCAGAGGGGGTGGGCACCCTGCTGCTGCGGGCGCCCCCAGCGGCGCCCCTGGGTGCCAGCTGCCCAGCCTCCCCTCTTCGCTGCCCCCCCACCCCCTGAGCTGCAAGCGCCCTGCAGCGGCTGCCCGTCCCGCCCGCTGAGGGGTGCCGGCGTGGCCTCGGAGCCCACAGCACAGGCGCGTCCCCTCGCGGCCGCCTCGGCTCACTGCCGGCGCCAGCTGCGGTCCCCCGAGTCAGAGAAATCCAAGCAGCGGCCCCGGGGCTGCGGGCGGCCAGGGCAGCGGTGGGAGGGCCCTGCCCTCTGCGGCCAGATCAACACCTGAAGCAGCAGGCGGCGCCCACGGGCACGCTGTGCTTTTCCCGCAACGGCTCGAGGGCGGTGGGTCCCCTGTGGGCGCTGAGGCCTGGAGCGGGCCCTGGGCGCCGTGGCCAGTCCCCTCGCCACCTGCACCGGGCTGGCTGCCGCCCTGGGTGGGGGCAGCGGACACGGCCCTTCTCTCACGCTGGAACTTCCTGTTTAGAAAGGGGGCAGGGGAGGCCAGGCGGGGCGGCCGGGGGAGGAGTCCCGTCTGTATCTGTTAGGGGGGGGGGCGCCCCCAGTGCTGCAGGTGCCTTCTCGCAACCAGCATCACCCCCCTGGGTTTGGCTGGCACCGTCCCAGGCCCGCTGCACCCTGTGGGCCTGGGCTGCCATCCACGACATCCGCTCCGGAGCCCCAGTGGCGGCTTGGCACCCCGGTGCTGTGGCCGTCCCTGGCCGGCCAACCCCACACAGGCGGGCCTGCATTGCGGGGCACAGTGGGGTCCCCGCCCGGGTGGCGTGTCCCGTGCGGGTGCCCTGCACTGCCCACCTCTCCCGAGGCTCTGCAGCCTGCACTTGGGGCCTGCACACTCTGAAGCGGGGTGTGCACTCGTCCGGGGGGAGCCTCTCCTGACGTAAGCTGTGGTCAGAGCGGATGCCCAGAGGCCTGCAGCCCAGGCCCCCGTGGGCTCACCAACGGGGTGAAGGCCGGGGGCCCCGGCCTGCACAGAGGGCTCCTCCCAGGGTCTCATGCCTGGCCTGGCCACCTGCCGCCGGGAAGGGGACAGGGCCCGCCCCCTGCGGGCGGAGGAGGGAGGAGGCAGCTGGGGGCTCCGGTCCAATGGGACGCCCTGGAGAGCGCCCCGCCTCGGCCCGGCCCCGCGGGTCCCCGAAGGCCCGCTTGAGCCAGGCCACAGGCCTCACAGTCACCCGTCGCCGCCAGCCCCTACCTGCCTGAGGTGGGTGGGCCTGGAGCTCCAGCCGCTGGCCTTGGGGTGCTGGGGTGCGGGGCAGCGCTGGGAGCAGGCTCCTGTGAGGCTCAGCACTGTGAGGGAACCCGAGGGCCACCCACCGCAGGGCGGGGGGAAGGGCGGAGCCCCTGACTCGGGCCACGCGGCCCCCCTGTGGCGGGCAGCCCCAGCTGGGCTGCGGCCTGCCGGAACCCGAAGCCACGTCCGCGGCCGCTCGCCGAGGACCCCGTCGGCTCCAGGAGGGCCGCTGCCCTCGGCACCCCCCACGCCCGCTCCCGTCCACGATGGGCACCACGGTCACCCCAAGATTTGGGGTGGAGGGTGTCTCACGGGGTGGCGGCGCCAGCGTCCTCACTTCCGAGGAAGTGTGAACCCGGCGCGTGTGCTCCTGGAGGACGCAGTCGGCTCGGGCGGGCAGGTCCGCGCCGCCCAGCCAGACGGGCGAGCCCCGGGCGCCCA